AGAAAAAAGCCGGAAGTGGTGCTGTGGCTCAAGTGGTAGAGCACTAGCCTTGAGCTGAAGAGCTGAGGGACAGCGCCCAGGCTCAGAGTTCAGGCCCCATGACCGGACCCAAAAAAACAAAAACAAAAATAGTCATAGTGGAGCTGAGAAGGTGGCTCAGTGGTAGCGTGCTTGCCGTGTATGAGGCCCTGGGTTCAATTACTCAGCACCGTATAAACAGAAAAAGCTGAAAGTGGCGATTTCATAGTACATAGTACATACCTTGTTAGTAGATGAAATTAACATTTGAGAACCTATATAGAAACCATAAATGGTTTCAGAATGGTAACAGAATGAATGAGATGGAAAAGAGAGTATCAGGAGTTGAAGATAAAACAGAGGTGCTGGAGAAGAAAGTATTAAAGGTGGAAAAAACACTCAGAAATTACCAAAGGGAAATTCAAGAACTGGCAGACAATGCCAAGAAATCTAATCTTTCTATAATTGAGATCATTTAACAAGAGGACTACCACAATAGAGGGATGCAACACTTATTCAATAGGATTATTATAGAAAATTTCCCCAATCTCAAAAGAGAAAACCTCACCCACATAACAGAAGCATACACCTAGTAGACAGGATCCTAGGAGGAATACTTCTAGACATATCATGGTAAAGACGCTAGACTTGAATTGCAGAGCTGATTTTAAATACTGTAAAACCAAAGAATGAGCTATATTACAGTGGAAAGAAAATCAGAATCACTGCGGACCTCTCCACACAATCCCTCAATGCAAAGAGAGCCTGGAAAAGTACCATCCAAGCCCTGAAAATCAACAACTCACAATCCAGCAGAGCTACCATTCACATTTTCACAGAAAATCTAAAGCTTTTAATAACAAAGAACAATTAAAGGATTTCATGAACACGAAGCAAACACTACAAAAAATACTAAAAGGAGGAACACAACCCAAAGAAAACAATCAAGGGAACCACATCAGATAGAAATCATTAGATCAATTTAGTAAGCACTGGAAAAGGAAAGACGCAAGATGCAGGAAAGCAAGAAAATGATAGGAAACACACCGCATCTCTGTATTAACCATAAACATTAATGGACTCAATTCACCAATCAAAAGAACCGCAGAGTGGATCAGAAAACAAGATTCATCCATTTGTCTCCAAGAGATGCATGCTACAGCCAAAGACAAAAACAGACTCTTGAGTGAAGGGTTGGAAGAAGATCCATGCAAATGTACTCAGCAAGAAGGCAAGGTTGCCATAGAGTTCTCACTAAAATAAGTACAAAAAGACAAAGAAGGTTACTACATAATAATACAGGGAACAATCCAAGAAGAGGATATCAACAATCATCAGTTTATATTCACCAAACAATGGAACACACTCAGATTTACGGAACAAGATAGAACCAAATACAATAGTAGTGGGGGACCTTAAAACCCCATTCTCACCAAAGGACAGGTCAACCAACCAGAGGTTAAGCAAAGAAGCCTCTGAGCTAAATGACACCGTATCCCAAATGGACCTAATAGACATCTATAGAGTTTGCACCCAACAACAACCCAGTGCACATTCTTTGCAGCCCATGGGATTGTCTTCAAAATAGATCATATAGTTCACACAAAGAATTTAAATAAGTACAAGTAGATTGGAATAACCCCTTGTATTCTATCCGACAATAGTGGAATCAAACTTTTTGTCAACACATAGTGCAGAAATTACTCAAATACATGGAGGCTGAACAACACGTTACTGAATGGCACCTGGGTCACAGAACAAATTAAAGAAGAAATTAGTTAAGTTCCTATAATTCAATGAAAATACATCAGAATGTCTGGGAAACAACAAAAGCAAGTTCATTGCTCTGAGCGTACACATCAAGAAAATAGAAGCAGGTCAAATAAATAATCTCATGATGCAACTAAAACTGTTAGAAAAGCAAGAAAAAAATTAAACCTAAAGTTACTAGATGGAGCTGAGCGACATAACCAAGATAAGGACAGAAAATGATGAGATAGAGATAAAACTATAAATATAAAAAATGTTTTTTAAAAATAAAATTGACAGACCTCTTGCAAGATTAACAAAATAAAGGAAGAGAGGAGACCCAAATCAATAAGATCAGGTATGCCACAGGAAAAATTACAACAAACATCCAAGACATCGAAATCATCATAAAGAACTATTTCCAGAATCTACTCACTAAAGAAGGAAAACCTAGCAGAAATGCATGACTTTCTAGAGAAATACAAATGCCCAAGCTCAATTAAGAACTATTTTCAGAATCTACTCACTAAAGAAGGAAAACCTAGCAGAAATGCATGATTTTCTAGAGAAATACAAATGCCCAAGCTCAATTAAGAAGGTATAAATCAGCTAAATAAGCCAGTCACTCACAGTGAGAATAGAGGAAGCAATCAGAAGTTTTCCAATAATGAAAAGCCCAGGTCCAGACAGATTTCACCACAGAATTGTATAAGTCTTTTAAAGGGGAACTAATACCCATACTCCTCAAGCAGAGGGAGCAATCCCAAACTTTTATTCTATGAAGCCAATAACACTCATCTCCAAACCAGGTGTAATGATCCAACAAACAGAACTATAGACCAATCTCTTTGATGAACACTGACTCAAAGCTCTTCAATAAAATTTTAGCCAACAGAATTCAGAAACATAAAAATAGGCTTCATCCCACAGATTCATTGCTGGCTTAACATATGTAAATCAAGAAAGTAGTTCTCACATCAGCAGAGCCTAAGTCAAGAATCATGATTATTGATGCAGAAAAGGCCTTTGGCAAAATACAACACCCATTCATGTTAAAAGCTCTGGAGGAAATAAGAATAGAAGGAACATTGTTTTATTTTTTTGTTTTTGGTTGATTGTGGGGCTTAAACTCTGGGCCTAGGGTGAGCGCTCTACAACTTGAGCCACAGTGCCACTCCTGGTTTTCTGGTGGCTTATTGGAGATAGTCTCACGGACATTCCTGCCTGGGCTGGTTTTGAACCACAATCCTCAGATCTCAGCCTTCTGAGTCGCTAGGATTACAAGCGTGAGTCACCAGCACCCCATTTAGAAGGATCATTCTTTTTTTTAAAATTATTTTTTTATTGTGAAATACCATACAGAAGGGTTACAATTACATGGGCAAGGTAATGAGTACATTTGAAGGATCATTCTTTAAAACAAACCCATATATGACAGACCAACAGCCAGTTACCACACTAAATGGGGAAAAATTAAAACCAATTCCTTGAAAATCAGGAACAAGGTAAGGATACCCACTCTATCCACTCCTTGTCAGTATAATAGTTCTTGAATCCTTAGCCAGAGCAATAAGGCAAGAAAAGAACATTAAAGGGATCTACATAGGGAAGGAAGAAATTAAACTATCCCTATTTGCAGATGACATGATAATATACCTAAACAGCCCACTCCCAAACTCCTAGCACTAATAAACCACTTTGGCAGAGTAGCAAGATACAAAATTAACTCACAAAAATCAGTTACCTTTCTGTACACCAACAATGTAAAAGCAGAAAGGGAAATCAGGAAAACAACCCCATTTGAAATCAACTCAAAAAAATATCTAGGAATTAACCAAAGATGTAAAGGATCTATTTAGTGAAAACTACAAATGTCTAAAGAAAGAAATCAGAGGATATCAGGAAATGGAAAGACCTTCTGTGTTCTTGGATAGGTCCTACTGCCAAAAATGATACAGAAATTCAATGTAATTCTCATCAAAATCCCAACCATGTTCTTTACTGAAATAGAGAAAATAATCCAAAATTTCGTATGGAACAGCAAAAGACCTAGAATAGCCAAAGCAATTCTAGGCAAAAGAAGCAATGCAGAAGGTATCACAATACCAAATTTCAAGCTTTACTATAGAGCCATAATAACAAAAACAGCTTTGTATTAGCACAAAAATACACCCAAAAACCAATGGAAATAGATCAGAAGACCCAGAAATAAAACCACATACTTATAGTCACTACCACTTGAGCCACAGCACCACTTCTGTTTTCTGGTGGTTAATTGGAGATGAGTCTCACAGACTCTCCTCCCCAGGCTGGTTTTGATCCACAGTCCTCAGATCTCAGACCCCTGAGTAGCTAGGATTACAGGCGTGAGCCATCAGTGACTGGCTATGATTTTTTTTTCTTACATTTTCTCACATTGAAAAAAATCATCAGTTAGACTTTGGTTGAGGATTTGGGTCCTGTAAAATATATTTTATATTGTACTTTGTAGTGTACTTAAGGGAATATTCAAGTATAATGAGTTATTTATTACTATTTCCAAATTTATCTCCAAGACATTATTTTGCATTTTGTTTATACTAGTGCTTTATAGCATCTGTACTGAGTTAATTGTACTACTTTCACTGTAGAAATCAGTTTCCCTTTATATTAAGTTAGTTGCAGCTGTTACTTTTTTGTTGTTTAAATCAAGGATATGAAAGTGCCAGTATGTCTAGCACCTGTGAACCTTGCAAAAGTCGGAATAGACATACAGCAAAGACTGAAGAGCCTGTTCCAGCAAAAGCATTCAGCAGAAAGAATCATGAGCACCTGGAAAAAATAATAAAATATAGTAGGTCTACAGAAATATCTTCAGGTATGTTTTTTTTTCTTGCTTTGCTACTATTTAAGGTTAGATATGAACAGTTCTATTAAAGCAAGTTTCAGAACTAGACTATCACACATTGCTACCATACGTGAGATTTTGTAGTAGAAATTATGTGCATGCACTTTTAAACAAAGAATAGTTGGCATTAAAGTTGGACTCAAAGTTTGTAATTCTGAAAACCCATCTAAAAATTACTATGCAATATCCTATTCCTCAGATTAAAACCTTTGGCTTCACCAGGCATGGTATGTTAAATTAAAGCCTAAAGTACTTACGATAGTATCTGTCACCTTTTTTTTCCCCTTCACAATGTCTAGTACCCAGTGTGTTTCAAACAGATTTTAACATACATGGCCACAGAGGAATTGGCATTTTCTTGCCTTTCTAGATTCATTCCTTACCATCCTCTGCCTAGAGACCTTTTCTTTCAGTAGCATTGAACCAGAGCTTTCATATGGCTGTCTCGGTACTTTGGTTTTTTGTTTTTTTTGGGGGGGGGGGTCCGGTCGTGGGGCCTGAACTTTGGGCCTGGGCACTCTTTCTCAGCTCTTTAGCTCAAGGTTAGCACTCTATCACTTGAGCCACAGCGCCACTTCTGGCTTTTTTCTTTTTTTGCTAATGTGGTGCTGAGGAATCGAACCCAGGGCCTCAGGCATGCAAGGCAAGCGCTCTACCACTGAGCCACCTTCCCAGCCCCTGTCACGGTATTTTTTACCTCATGAGTTGTCCCTTTCTACTTTAAGTCCTTTTTTGCCCTTTGTAAGCCCTTTCGCTGGAAGGCTGTTTCATTCAGTTTTAATTCTGGAACCTGAAATTGTATCTCAATTCATATAGAATAGCTTTACTTTTCTCCATTTGGTTTCCACTGGAGCAGAGTAAACCTGCTTTGTTACCTGTAGTACATTATGTAGTATTTACTTAAGTTTCTGTGTCACCTTTTTGAGTCCCTTGGCAGCAGGTAGTACATTCACATATTTTTGTCTTAAATACACATGGTAGACTCTTAAGAAATTGCTTGTTAGGTGAATATATTTGCTGTCATTTTAGTTTAAATAAACACTGGTACTTATTTATAAAGAATAAGTGTTTCTAAAGGAATGTAGAGAGGGAGTCAGCAAAAAGACTTGTAGTTTCATTTGTGTTAAGATTTTGGTGAAAATTATATCAACTGTCATTTGTGTATTTTCAAAATTAATTTTTAAGAGTTATTTATGTATGTCATTTGAGCCCTGCAATGCTTCATTGGTTTTCATTCTTCAAATGAGAAATCAAAAGATGAAGAATATCTGTTTTGTTTTCTTTTTCCACCCCAGCTGCTTATATAAATTTGTAGAATTTTTCTGGAAAACTCAAAAGTCATAGTAATTGTTCTGTTCTTGTTGGAATCCATTTTATGGAAAGAGAAGTAGAAAAAGTAGATTTAGTGATCCCTGAACAGTGTGCTTCCAACTATGTAAAACAAAATGTGAATGAGTAATGACTAGAAGAAGATTAATGGAAGTGTTTATAATGGTTTTATAATCTTTAACATCTATATTTTCTAAGACTTAGGTGAATACTTGTTAAGTTTTGTAATTACAACAAAAGCATCACATTTGTATTTTGAAATAACTTCCTCAAGGTTATTTTGGTAGGAAATGGTAATACTTCTTTTGAGTCCAGAATCCTTTTGACAGAAATAGCAACTCTTACTATCTCAGACCCAAAATTTTAGCAAAATACTACTAAGTTGTAAAATTGTCAGAAAGTAAACATTGGGTTGGAGGAGAGGCACTAAATTGAAAGGCTCAAAAAAACAGACTATCATTACTTAAATAATTGATAATCATAGTATTTCAGATCTCTTTTACTGAAGAGTGTGATTATTAATGACATAAAAATGTTGTCAGTAGTGTAAAGATATACATTTTTTTCATCTTAACCACTACCCTGAAATTATATCTTGGACTTATTGCTACCCTACGTATCATACGTCACTATCAAGAGTGAAGCATATATCGCTGGTAGCATTACATTATACAGTTCTTTGCTCCCACAAGAGTTACAGGAAGTTCACCTGGATATGTATTATGATAGTCATCATCACAGTAATAACTTTATATTAAACCTTTTGAAATTCCCTCTAATGTGATTACTTTTAAATAGAGCATAATAGAGTAATACCTTGTGATAACATTTCACTTCAGGCAAACAATTTTTTAAAAAATTTTGCTTTCTTTTTTTTAATTCACTTACTCATAGACCTACTCATACACATTTTATGTTCATCCTATGTCTGCCCTTTCCTACAGCACATGCTAGGAGAATGCTACAGCAGTCTAACAGAAATGCATGCAATGAAGCGCCAGGTAACAATCTGCTTAGTTTTGGTGTCCACTTTTGTTAAGTTTTTTCCATTTGATCCTAAAAAATCTAAATGCTGTTCTGGTAGTTTTTAGATTTGGCAACTGTATAAATGTTACGTGCTTTATAAAAAAAAAAAAAGTTCATACTGATAAAATTCTGAAACCTTTCATTTATAATTTGTGGTTGGTTAAATTGATGACTTTTCTCGATTTGATTTGTGTGTGAAACCTAATACATTTGTAAGGGGAATAGAACCTTTAAAAAGTACTGATATTTAAGTATAATATGGGAAGAATATGATAAAGATCATGCAAAATTGGAAAGATTCCAGAATGCTAATTTGATCTATTACTTAAAACAGTTCTATATGACTCAGAATTTACAAAAATTCTTTACCTCCTTCCAAAGCTATATAACTAAAAAATAAAAGCCTGTTTGAACTGTTATGGGATACTAAAGAAAATAAAAGAAGGATCCACATCTGACAGTGATGAATGTGTTGCTGGTAATTTCAAACAAAAGAATGAAAATCGTATAAAATCAAGATTGGATCAGCAAAACCCTTTGTGAGATCAGAGATTTTCTATCAAAAGCTCATTAATTTAGTCCAGGAAGAGAAAATGGTATAAACTTGCCATCACTAGACTGCAAAAGAGAGAGATGAAGATTGTGATTGGCAAAAAATAATTAAATTTTAATTTTTAGTGATGTATAATGAGTGCTAATTTTATTAAACACAAAGCTATTAAAGATACCATAATGTGTACATTGTTCTTTTAGCTTTGGAACAAACCTTTTAAATATCAAACAGCTGGGGCTGGGAAGGTGGCTCAGTGGTAAGAATGCTTCTGCCTTGCATGCATGAGGCCCTGGGTTCGATTCCTCAGTACCACATACACAGCAAAGGCCGGAAGTGGGTGCCATGGCTTAAGTGGTAGAGCTCTAGCCTTGAGCTGAAGAGCTGAGAGACAGTGCCCAGGTCCAGTGTTCAGGCCCCATGACCAACAAAAAAACTGCAACTATGGCCAATAAGTAAATGAAAAGCTTGCATATAAAATCATATGTTGGTGTAGTTTTTTTTCCTGTAAGTAGTGATTTTTTTACAGAAAGATAAGTTGGGTTCCTGCTTATGGTAACTCACTTTTGTAGTATGTCACAAGTGAACATTTAAACATTGGCAGAATATTTTTGATAAATTTACATAATATGAATAATACTTAATAACAATTATATGATTATTTTAGTTAATAAATGGTATTTCTTTTATATTTACAAACTATAGCAGAAGGATAAGAAAGATACATGGTTTTCATTAGTTGTATGTTTAGAAAATTTGAGACCTCAAAATATTACATCATTTAGCTACTGCTGAGTAGAAATTTTTTCGAGTAGAATACATTCCACATTTTTTTTTTTTTTGTCAGTGAACTGAAGGCCTGGGTGCTGTCCCTGAGCTCTTTTCTTCAAGGTTAACATTATACCATTTTGAGCCACAGCTTCACTTCCAGTTTTTTGGTGGTTAATTGAAGATAAGTGCTTGACTGAGAATTCACTAACCAGGCTGATTTTAAGCCGCAGTCATCAGATCTCAGCCTCCTGAGTAGCTAGGAGTACAGGCGTAAGCTACTGGCACCTAACCTCACATACACACATTTTTGTTTCCCTCCCTCCCTCCTTCCCTTCTTTCCTTGCTTGGTCGTGGGGCTTGACCTCTGGGCTTGGGCACTGTCCCTGAGCTCTTCAGCCCAAGGCAAGCATTCTACCGTTTGAGCCGCAGCACCACTTCTGGTTTTCTGGTGGTTAATTGGACATTAGAGTTTCAAGAACTTTGCTGCCCAGGCTGGCTTTGAATCGCCATTCTCAGATCTCAGCCTCCTGAGTTGCTAGTCTTACAGGCTTGAGGCACTGGTACCCAGCTGCACACACTTGTTTTTTTTTTTTTTTTGGTCAGTAGTGAGTCTTGAATTCAACTCTGGGCCTGGACGCTGTCCCTCAGCTCTTCAGCTCAAGGCGAGCACTCTACCACTTGAGCAACAGTGCAACTTCTGGCTTTCTGGTGGTTTGTTGGTGATGAGTCTCTCGGACTTTTCTGCCAGGGCTGGCTTTGACCATGATCTTCAGATCTCAGCCTCTTGAGTAGCTAGGATTACAGGCATGAGCCACAGGTGCCCGGCTGCACACACATTTTTTAAAAAGAATCATATACTAAAATTTTAACATATTTGTTTTTCTTAGAAACTGATTTTTTCTGAACTTGAGCATTTAACTAGCTAGGTATTTGCTTTGTTTTTTGTTTTGTTTTGGGTCCGGTTGTGGGGCCTGAACTCTGGGCCTGGACGCTGTCCCTCAGCTCTTCAGCTCAAGGCTAGCGCTCTACCACTTGAGCCACAGCGCCACTTCCGGCTTTTTTCTTTTTTCTTATGTGGTACTGAGGAATGGAACCCAGGGCCTCATGCATGCAAGGCAAGCACTCTACCACTGAGCCACCTTTCCATCCCACTAGCTAGGTATTTGATATTTTGTTGTTCAGAATTTTGTGTGTGTGTGTAAATTTGTAAGTATGCTTTCTTCCTGGTACTTGAACTTGGCCTGAGTGCTACCCCTGTGATGATTTTGCTCAAGACTACCACTTGAGCTGCAGCCCTGCTTCTGATATTTTGATGGTTATTGGAGACAAGAGTCTCCTAGACTTTCCTGCTGGGTTAGCTTTGAGCTTCTTCAATAGCTAGTATTACAGTCATGAGCTTGGCTTATTTTAGAAAATTTATAGTTGGATAGCTAGGACTACTTTGTGATTACTCCACTTCTCCCCTCCCATGCATGCCCCAAGTTCCTAATTTGTACTCTTTTTTTAAGAGTATGGGGCTGAAAAAAAAAAAAAAGAATAGTATGGGGCTGGCTATATGCTCAGAAGTAACAGTGATAGGCAAATTCTGAAAACTTGGCATTGAGTACAAGTATGTATATATTTGTATGACAATAGCAAATTCACATGTAAGTTATAGTTAAACATGTTAAACATTATCAACTTTTCTGAGTTGAAAGTGATATTTGAATATTAGTAGCTTTTTAGACCTTAAAATAGTAGCACTTAACAGCAGTACTTCATTTGGTTTTGGTTTTGAACTAGTGTGTGTGCTAGGCAAACATATACCATTTGAGCCCGAGGTCCTTTTTTGCTACAATGTTCATATTAGCAAGAAACAAAACTATTTCAGCTTAGTTTATTTGATTCAAATGGTGAAGGATTTTCACTGGTTAGTCCTATTGAGTATGTAAAAATGCTATTTTGTGTGTGTTTTGAGAAAGGGTCTTGTTTAACCTACACAGGCCTCAAGTTTACAATCTTCTTTCATTAGTCTCTCTGTTGCTGAGATTATAGTCATATATCACAACACCTAATAAGATATTTCAATTGAGAAGCAAATATGATACCAAGTAGTGCTAGGTAATGTTACTCATGAATATAAGTATTTATTTAATATATAATATTTACTTGCCAATTTGATAATCTTTAACTTTGGTTTTAAGCATTCTTTAAAAGTCCTGAAATAGAATTGTGTTCAGATTTTTAAGTAATTTAAAGCTTAGATTAATGACACACATTATTAGAAATTGTCATGAAGGTATTTTATATCTTCCAGAAACTGGGAGTGATTTTTCCATGTTTGAAGCATTACAGGATACTATTTATTCTGAAGTAGCTACATTAATTTCTCAAAATGAGTCTCGTCCACATTTTCTTATTGAACTCTTCCATGAGCTTCAACTACTTAATACAGACTACTTGAGACAGAGGGCTTTATATGCATTGCAGGTATCTGATAACTTTTTTTTTCTACCTTGTTACTGTTACTTCATGATTATATCTGTTTACTTTCTTAGTCCCATGAATGTTCTTGCTCCATACATATTTTGATTTCTTTTTGTTATTTTCTTTGTATATCTTAAATAGCTTTTTAGTCTTTGTGAGCAGTTTTTTAGGTTTTTTTCCTTTGGTATGATTTCTTCACACTTAACCTATCAAGTGAGAAGCAATGGATCTTTGTTTTAAAATTTGCATCATACATTTGATATTAAGCAATAATGTCTCATTTTCCTTATATAGGACATAGTATCCCGACATATTTCTGAAAGTGATGAAAAAGATGGAGAAAATGTAAAGTCTGTAAACTCTGGTACTTGGATAGCATCAAACTCAGAACTTACTCCCAGTGAAAGCCTGGCTACTACTGATGATGTAAGATAATAATAGTACGTGAAATGTAGGCATAATGTTAGTATACAGTAAACAAAAATTTGATTATTGTCAAATTGTGAACAGCTTAAAAGATAGGTGTAATACACTATTGTCAGATAAAATATAACTTACAATTAAAATATACCGTGAACACCAAAAATTATGTGTAAATGATAGAGTATAAGGTCCAAAATAGTCATGTATATAGTCATATATAGTCATACATATATCTTCTACAAGATAGGGGCTGACTTATATTTTTATTATTTTTAAGCAGTTGTGTAAAGGAGGGACTAACTTTTAACAGACATTTAATAAATAGGTGTATGTTGTATTTCAAGATACATAATAAACCAAACAGATCTTAATAATAATCCTTAAATAGTACAAGGTAAGTCAAGAAGTACAAGATAAGTCAGAAGTCAATCATCCTAGTAATGAATGTAATTGAATATATTTTAACTTGAAAATTTTTTTTAATAAAACAAAAAGGACTTTGAGAGGATGGTGAGGAGGAGAATGGTAGACATTTAGTAGTCTGTGTCCTCCTATAGAGCCCAGTACTTTGTTCGTTGAAAGACTGAATGACATACTGCTAGGAATCTGAAGAGATACTGCTTGTTGGGGGAATCACCTGTTTAAAATTTGATTCTATTTTTATAATACAGTTGAATCACCTGGAGATCCATACATAAGAATAATTGCTTAGCAAGTAATTGCTTATAGGTAGAAAGTTGGAATAGTTCCATAATGTCTTCTGAAGTGTTTCTCCAAAAGATCATTTTGATAATTTTTGCTATTAAACAAGGTGTCTTAAGGTTTACTGGGCATTGAAATAACTTGGGAGTGTGAAGTCTTTTCCTAAACGTCTAAGAAATTTTATGTTCTTCAGTGCTTCTGTTATTAATCCAAGTCTCATATACGTAGCATTATTTCCAGATACAGCATACTGACCTGCACCATCAATAGCATATTTTGAAAAATTGACTATATTTCAAGATAAAACTAACTTGATCAAGTTTTAAAGTTAAATAAAATGTAAAGATAGCGTACTGCTTACTAAATAAGGGCTTGGGATAAATAACTGTGTTACTATAATTTTAAATATTCTTTTTTTTTTTTCCTGCCAAAGCTGAAATTCAGCATTGAGGTCAGCATCTTCTCTTTTTCAGTGCCATTTGATTAGCACACTATCCTTTGTTCACTTGTCCCACAAAAGACCAATAGCTAGCAGGAAAAAAACCCACAAAAACATATATGAGACACCCTTGTCATACCACATTTAAGATTAGTTTAAAATGACATGAAAATCCTATTAAAGCTAAACCTATAAAATTAAAAGAGAAGAAAATAAGGGAAAAAATCTTATTTTAACGTCAGCAATGATTTCTTAGGACACCAAAAGCATTATACATGAAAATATTGTTGGATTCCATGAAAATAAAATCTTTGTGCTTTTCAAATGAGTTTCTAGCTGTATTACAGCTAGAATTTATAGCTGTATTACATATAGAATTTTTACTACTCAATTTTAAGACAACTCAGTAATAACAATAGAAAAGAGATTTGGATAGAAACTTTATGAAGGAGCATATAGATGGCTAGTATGCAAATTAAAACTGTGAGATACCACCATGAACATATTAGAATGGCTGAAACGTAAAAGGCTGACAGTAAAACAGATACACCTTACAACAGAATATGATACAACAATTAGAAATAATGTAATATTGAAATACACAAGAGCATGTTTTAATTTCAGAAACACAATGAAAAATATGCTGAAGAATACATACTTTTTGCCTGAACTAATAAAATTAATCTACAGTGGTAGATATATGAGATGAATGTCGTGGAGATTAACTGTAGAAAGGTACAAAGGAACTTTCTAGGCTGATAGGCAGGTCTTTTAAGCTGGTTGCCTGGTCTTTTAAGAAGCTGGTTACATGAGTATATACATTTGTTGGAACTCAGCAAAGTACATGCAAAAATGAGTTCAATTATGAGAAGAGATGTTCTGCAAGGTTAATATTTATGTTTCTATGACTATTCAACATTTAATAATTGTTTGTAGTATGTAGTCCTGTTTGCATGCAGTACTCATGTAATGTACATTTTAGGTATATCGTTGTTTGCAAATAGTATCTGTTTGATAGTTAATATTTATAAAATTTTTAAAGAAATTATTTTTTTATTGTAACAGGAAACTTTTGAGAAAAACTTTGAAAGAGAAACACATAAAATAAGTGAGCAACACAATGCTGATAATGCTAGTGTCATGTCTGTATCTTCAAATTTTGAACCCTTTGCAACAGATGATCTAGGTAAGCAGAACATGTTTATCATTTTAGCATGACTAAGTTGATGTCTTACAGTCTGAATTGCAACTTAAAAGATAATGTATGGCTCACAAAACATAGACATAAAGGTACTATCATGTTAAACTCTCAGCATTCTTCATCAGGACTCTGAACCTGGGTCAGATCACCTGTTTATGACTGAAATAGTGATAGAGTTCTTATTTTGCTATGTTCTTGGAGGAAATGTATACATACCACTATCAAGCACAAATAATAATATCTCAGTAAACCGAAGTTTACACTGTTTTAAAAATATCCAAAGTCCAAGCCTTGCTTTATCATAGGTATCTGTTATCACAATGATTCAGATTTTCCTGAGTACTGAGGCTCTGCCTCCTTTCTGAGTAAATAGCTATCAGGTCTATGCTAAGTGCATCCATTGTAAAGAAGTTATTCTGGCTAGTTCTTTCCTTTTCTTCTGTTACTATTTCTGAATGAGTTGCTGCATATGAACTGCTTATTTTCATTATTTTACTAAATTCTTCTTTCAGACAGTTTTTTACAACTAGCTTTGTAACTAGAAGTGGATATAGGTGGTAGCTATAATCTTAGCTATTCACACGTCTGCACTCAGGAAGGAAGCTTTTGCAGTTCAGGACCACCCCAGGCAGAATGTTTATGAGACCCTATCTCAGCCATTAAAAAGCTTAGCATCAAAAAGCTTAGCATGGTGGTGCACACCAACGTAGGAGGGTAGAATAAATAGGATGATTGAAGTCCAGGTCAGGCTGACCATAAGTTTAAGACCTTGTTAGAAACATAACTAAAGCCAAAAGGACTGGGAATGTGGTTCAAGTGAAAGACTGCCTGCCTAGCAAGACCGTAAGTTGCTACCTCAGTACTCCCCTCAAGAAAGAGGTAGATACTGGAAAATCTCATTGGTAGGCTTCTTTTGCTTACCTTATTTGCTTCTGTTAAATTGGATTACTTTCCTCAGAATTTACATAACATTTTGGCATGATTTCTTTTTACTGTTTCCAGTAAAACAACATGATAATAGTGAAATAGATGCCACTAACATGGTTTAAAATAACCTGAAGTCAAATGCCTGCTGTTTTATTTAAAACTGATTGTAAAGATTTGGGCAAGTTACTTAAGTTTGAAGCTGCTATCATAGGATTATTTAAAGAGTAAATAAATGTGAGGATCTACATGAAGCACATAGTGTCTGGAACTTGTTAAAATGCTAATTTTTCTAATGTTCAGATAATAGTTTTTGAGAAGTGGATAAAAAGATTTACTTTTGCTTATTTTAGAAATATTTCTGTTCAAATTTAGGTAACACGGTGATTCACTTAGATCAAGCATTAGCCAGAATGAGAGAATATGAACGTATGAAGACCGAGGGTGACAGCAATTCAAATATGAGATGCACCTGCAGAGTTCTTGAGGATGAAGATGCTGCTCCTGCTGCCACCTCTGCAGATAATAATTTAGATGGTGTGTCTTTTTTAATTGATTAGAAGTTATAATCATAGTTGCGTATAAAAACAGTGAAAAACCAGCCAGGCACTGTATGTATTCTTGTAGTCACGAAGCTGGGGCAGGAGAATATTGAGGCCAGCCTGTCCTACAGACCAAGACTCTGTCATGGAAAAAATATTAAAGGCCCTACTTAATATATAGTTGGTAATACAGGTTTTTATTACTGTTTTTATTTAGCTACCATGAATGCTACAAGTACATGGATTTTTTTTTGCCCTGGCATTTTTAAACTTAAATTATCATATCTTGATATTCTTTAAAATGGTGTGTGTGTGTGTGTGTGTGTGTGTGTGTGTGTGTGTGTAAATGATGTAAACTTTTTTTATTAATGTATTACTTTTCTTAGAAACAGAAACTCCCATTATTGAAAATTGTAGCTCACAACAACCTGTAAGTGAGGTTTCTACTGTCCCATGTCCTAGAATTGATACTCAGCAACTGGATCGTCAGATTAAAGCAATTATGAAAGAAGTCATTCCTTTTTTGAAGGTAAATAATTTTTAAAAATAAACTTTCTGTGCTTTTTGACTCATAGGTAAAACTTTATTATAGTAAATCATAAAAATTCAGGTAAACTGAGGTGAAGAGTTGAGGGACAGCTCCCAGGCCCAGAGTTCAGGCCCCATGACCGGACCCAAAAAAAACAAAAATTCAGGTAAAACAGAAGACAAAACTGTCTCCCACAATCTTGACAAAATAGAGCCTCAGAGAAAAGAAATGATTGAGAGTCAAAGTCTGAGTGATAAGGATTAGGCGAACTAGAGAATGGTGATTCCTGTGTCTGGGCCTGGGCACTGTCCTCAGCTCTTCAGCTCAAGGCTAGTGCTCACTTGAGCCACAGCACCACTTCTGATTTTCTGGGGGTTTATTGAAGATAAGAGTTTCACAGACTTTCTTGTCTGGGCTGGCTTTGAACTGTGATCCTCAGATCTCAGCCTCCTGAGTAGCTAGGATTACAGGCGTGAGCCACCAGTGCCTGCTGTCAGTGAATCTTAAATCTACTGCTTCTATGAGTTAGCTCAGTTTATCATATCACAGTTGGTTTGTCTAACAAGGCTTTCAGGCTAACTTTTTGCTTCAGATGAGAAAAAGTGACTTAGGACATCAGCTGATCAGGTCTTAAAATGAAGTATCATCCAACCCCTGGAGTACAAATGCACACTCATACAGCCTTTGCAGTCCCATCTAACTCAGGGATAGGGTATTGTATCCCAAGTGAGATTCATGCTCTTCAGTGCCATTATAAATGAGGACTGATCTTATATCTATTTAAGGTAGAAAGGATTTGAAAGGAAAGGGAAACAGGAGCACAGGGAAACATATGTAAGATACATGGCAGATAGCAAGAGCTAGACAGTGGACATATTACAGGGAGAGTCTCACCAAGAAAAACGCTACAGTGGCAGGATTCCAGCGAGGTATCTGAGGAAGAAGAATGGAGCTTCTATTCAGGCTCAAAGAGAATTTTTGACTGCAGAAAAGAACTTAAGGACAACTCAGTGAGAGATGTACTTTGATGAAATTCACTCATGCAGCCAGGCATTGGTGGCCCACACCTGTAATCCTAGCTACTCATGAGGTTGAGATCTGAGGATCATAGTTCAGTGCCAGCCTGGGCAGGAAAGTCCATGAGACTCTTACCTCCAATAAGCCACTCAAAAACTGGAAGTGGTGCTGTGGCTCAAGTAATAGAGTAGTAGCCTTGAGCACAGAGAGAGAGGTTCAGGAATAACATCCACATCCTGAGTTTAAGCTCCAGGATCAGCAAAAACAACAACAACAAAAAATTCACTTGCTCTATTATTATTCCCCATATTAAACAAGTTTTATAGTTTAGTTTGGGTTTTTGGTAGTACCAAGGTTTGAGTCAAGACCTGGTGCTTGCTAGGCAGGCACTGTATCTTTTTGGGGGGAATGGGGTGGACTATAATCCTCGTATTTATACTTCTTTGTAGTTGAGATGTCAAGCTTACTCCACTACACTCAGCTTTTATTAGTGAGATGAGGTTTCATGAACTTTTTTCCTGGGCCTGATCACTACCATAATCATCCCACTCTGCCACTTGAATAGCTAAAATATAGGTGGGAGCCACAGTACTCTGCCTAACAGGTTTCATTATTCTGTTTCTGGCACCACTGTGCCAGGCACCAAAACAATTTCTTTTTCCCATTCTGTAGCCTGTCTCTTGATTCTGATAATTGTTGCCTTTATGCTGCAGATGCTTTTTAATTTGATCAAGTTCCATTTGTCAGTTTTTTTTTTCCTCTGTCAGCTATTAAGATTCTACTCAGGAAAGTGTTAACCTATACCTTTAAAGGGTTTACTCCTAGGGTTTCAAAGTTTTGTCTTTTTTTGGGGGGTGAAGGGGTCCAGTCATGGGGCCTGAACTCTGGGCCTGGGCGCTGTCCCTCAGCTCTTCATCTCAAGGCTAGCGCTCTACCACTTGAGCCATAGCACCACTTCTGGCTTTTTTGCTTTTTGCTTATGTGGTGCTGAGGAATCGAACCCAGGGCCTCATGCATGCACGACAAGCGCTCTACCACTGAGCCACCTTCCCAGCCCTTAGAGTTTTAAGTCTTTTGTTAAGATTTTGATCAGTTGTGAATCAAGCTTTTGAATTTTTTTTGGTTGGTCATGGGGCTTGAACTCTGGGCCTGGGTGCTGTCCCTGCACTCTTGTGCTCAAGGCTAGTGCTCTACCACTTAAGCCACAGTGCCACTTCCGGCCTTTTCTGTTTATGTGGTGCTGAGGAATTGAACCCAGGGCCTTTATGAATGTGAGGCATGCACTCTACTGCTGAGCGACCTTCCCAGCCCCAGCTTTTGAGCTTTTGAAGACAGAACTTTTTCATTGTTGTTTCATAAGTTACTTGCCTTGACACATGAGCTTTTAAAAATGAGCCTGAATCAACCTTAGGAATTAATGTTTGAGTGCTTCATTTTATAGATTTATTCAACTAGGAAAAAAATCTGACCTGAGAAAGGTTGTAGAACTTAAGTGACTTTAATAGAAGAGAAATAAGAAATTTCTAGACTTACCTCAGAAAATGGTTAGAATTATTTTGTAATTTATACATGCTTTTAAAGAACAATTAAGGAGAAAGTTAAAGAAAATTAGGGGGTTATGTTGACCAACAAGACATCTCATAATGTATTGAGACTTTAGTTGTTGGAATGTTGGGGAAGCGTTGATGGAGTAACTAGCATGTAGTAGGTAGAGGACTAGGTGCTCCTATGTCCTATGATGTACAAGATGTTAATAGCATGAAGATCCAGACTGGAGGCATGGATCAAGTGGTAGAACGCTGGACATGAGCAAAAAAACTGAGCATGAACAGGGGCCTTGAGTTCAAACCTCAACATTAGGTGGGGATATATTTTATATATCTACATACATATATATATATATATGTGTGTGTATGTCTATACATATATATATATATGTATGTATGTGTCTGATAGAAAATTAGGTGGAAGAAAATTGATTGTAAGAGTAGTTGCAGTTAACCAAATTGCAAACAGGAAGATAGGCAAATTGAAGCTATAGCATGAATAATTCTTAATAGAGAAAGGCTGGATAAGCCAGTTTCTTTTACTAGCCAACACCTGGTATAGTGAGTCTGAATTGTCAAGCCTCTCAGTGTATATTGTTAAGAGTTTGGTTGTTGTCATGGACAATTCTTTCCAGTGTACAACTGAAAATTGAGAAGGTGAGAAGGATCTATGCCAGAGAAATGAATTATTATGTGATTGATACTTTTAAACAATAGATAAGTTTATATCCTAACCCTCTAGGGTTTTTCTTAGGAGCACATGGATGAAGTATGTTCGTCTCAACTTCTTACTTCAGTGAGACGCATGGTTTTAACCCTTACCCAGCAAAATGATGAGAGCAAAGAGTTTGTAAAGTTCTTTCATAAACAACTTGGAAGTATTTTACAGGTACGTGTTTATACTTACATTGCCTAGTCAGTATCCACCATCTGTTTAGAATTCTTCCCTTTCACCTCTTTTTTTTTCTGCTGGTCCTAAGACTTGAACTCAGAGCCTGGGCACAGTCCTTTGAGGTTTTTTTTGCTCAAGGGTAGTACTCTACAGTTTAGCTTCTGGCTAGTGATAGTTAACTGGAAATTTCACAGTTTCTCCTGTCCACACTGGTTTTGAATTGCTATCCTTAGATCTCAGCCTCCTGAATAGCTTAAGATTACAGGAATGAGTTTAGGACTTTTATTTATTTTTTTTCATGTTCTGGTATTATGCATCTATTCAGACATTCATTTTAACAATAACTTGGTGTGACATTTAATACATTCCAAGTTATTCCATTACTTAGAAGTTTTTTTAGGGCATGCTATATATATGTTCATTTATTTGGACTAATCTGGGGAAATTTTAAAGCCCCAACCCAGCTACCAGTTGAAGACACCTTTTAGAGTATAACATTGTTTTTCTTATTAATATATTAATTGCACTTAATAATAGGTTACAATTAGATACTTCAGCATACACTGTATAGAATGTTTGTTGATTAAGCCACAGTAACATTTCCCTTTCCTTATCATTTCTTTTTTTTTTTTTTTCCAATTTTTTTTTTTGGTCCGGTAGTGGGGCCTGAACTCTGAGCCTGGGCGCTATCCCTCAGCTCTTCAGCTCAAGGCTAGCACTCTACCACCTGAGCCACAGAGCCACTTCCAGTATTTTTCTTTTTGCTTATGTGGTGCTGAGGAATCGAACCCAGGGCCTCAGGCATGCAACGCAAGCGCTCTACCACTGAGCCACCTTCCCAGCCCTCCTTATCATTTCTTTACACTTGAAACCTTGAAGCTTTTTTTTTCTACAGCTTTATAAAATACATCGTAAGTCATAGTGAACTGTAGTCATCCCACTACTACAGAACACCATAACACATTTCTTATGTCTTTGTTTTTATACCTGTTGTCTGACCTTTCTATTCCCCTGCTTTTCACACTGCTATCCTTAGATGTAAAAGTAACTTTAAATTAGGGCAATTCTCACGTAGGGGAGATTTTTTTGCCTCCTGGGAGACATTTAACAGCATTTGAAGACACTTTGTCATAGCAAGTAAGGTAGAGGGGAGGTAGGAAGGGGAAAGAAGAGAGGAGGTACTAGGTTGATGGGTAGGTATGCTGCTTAAAGAACCTATAATGTCTCTCACAATAGAATTGTGCAGTCTTAATGTCATTAGTACCAAGATGAGACACTTTGTTTAAATAAGGATTTTTTTAATTTCATATAAAAACATCTATAAGCTGGGTGCTAGTGGCTCAGGCCTATAATCTGGCTACCCAGGAGACTGAGATTTAAGGATTGTGATTCAAAGCCAGCCTGGGCAGGAAAAGCCGTGAAATTCTTATCTCCAATAAACTACCAGAAAACCAGAAGTGGCACTGTGGCTCAAGTGGTAGAGCGCTAGCCTTGATCTGAAGAGCTCAGGTACAGCCCTCAGGCCCACAGTACATGACAAAACAGACCAACAAAAAACAAAAATCTTTACCCTTTATTTGAATATTTTCCCATTGAGGTTTGTTTATTGGTGGTATTGTTACTCCAAATTAAACAATACATTAAGACTAAAGTATAAATTCAGCAGTAGTCTCAGAATAGTTCTGACTCCATTTATAATAGTGTGAATACATAATTTATAAGGAAGGTGTCAGTGATGCTCTACATTGTAGGAATCCTTTAGGATTCAAAACATTTGCTAGCAGGAAACGGAGAGACTATAGAGAAGATACTCCTGTAGAAATAAGTGAAATAACATAAATGTATTTTTAAAAATTTAACTAGATGGCTTGTCTCTAAAGGAAGAAGTAACTATTCTAGAATGTGATTTAAAGAGAAATTACTAACAGTTCATATTTTTAAATCAAGGTCTATTCAGCCCATCTTTGGTTTTGCCTATTATAAGCATTAGTTATTATAAACATTAGTTTAGAAGTAGGTTTTTTTGTTTTTTGTCGGTCATGGGGCTTGAACTCTGGGCCTGGCTGCTGTCTCTTTAGCTCAAGGCAAGTGCTCTTCCACTTGAGCCACAGCTCCACTTTAGTTTTCTGGTGGTTAATTGGAGATGAGAATCTCACTGACTTTGATGACTGGGCTGGCTTTGATCCATGCTCCTCATATGTCAGCCTCCTGAGTAGCTAAGATTATAGGCATGAGCCACTAGTGCACAGCAGAAATAGAACTTTTTTTCCCCTAAGTGTAAGATGGTGTGAATGGATTTCTTTCACTTCATCCCTCATATTTTTCACTGGGGCATATATATGAAGAATGAAAATTTCTATTAATGCCTAGAATATTAAATTTTTATTCATGAGCTAGAATTTATTGTCTAAAACTTATTAAAGAATTTCCTTTCACAAGGCACTCAGCATATGTACTTCCTTGTATGATTGAAATAGTAATAGTGATGAGACACTGAACATCATACTTCATGTATTTTCCAAAAAGGAAAATCCATAATGTTTTGGAAGAACAGGAAAGCAGTTTTAATAAAAAGTATAGACTATAATAAATTTATCATTTGATGTTATGTTTGAATTTGAATAGAACTAAAGTTTACTTTTAAACTGTTCTGAAAAATATTCTAATGATACTTGAAGGAAGCTCTTTATTGTTCTCTCATAGTGCTTAATGACTTAACTGTAAGTGTATATGTGTTCCCTATATGCATTGGGAACTTTTTGGGATTAGAAATCCTCTGATTAGGGGATTAGAAATCTTCCATGTCCAGGAATTATGTTAGGTACTAAATATATGGAAGACAGTTCTCTTCTCCCTTCTCCCATTTACTCAGTAAGCATGACTGGGAAGACTTCTCCCTTAGTAATATGTAATCTTTAATAATCTTTTTTTTGTGATCTTAGCCATTAGTTTCAAGTTTTTCAATACTTAAAATCAGTAATCTTATTTCCTTCTAGATAAATATTTAAAACTTCATCTTTTAATCATATATCTCTCTGTTTTAATGTTAAAATTATTTGATTTATCATCAAATAGGATTCATTGGCAAAATTTGCAGGCAGAAAACTGAAAGACTGTGGAGAAGACCTTCTTGTGGAAATATCTGAAGTTTTGTTTAATGAATTGGCTTTCTTTAAGCTGATGCAAGATTTGGATAATAATAGTGTAACCGTAAAACAGAGATGTAAAAGGAAAATAGAAGCAACTGGAGTGATACAGTCTTATGCCAAAGAGGTAACCTAACTTTCATTTTGATTTTAGGAGTAGCTGTAATGAGCCTGTAACTATACTTTTTGATCATTGTCACTTACATTATCACTTAGTTCTCCAAAGAGGTGAGGAGTAATGAAATCTATTCTTTAGCCAACTACCTGTCACAGCTGTTGTCAATCTCCAAGAGTCTCCAAGGATATGTCTCAACCAAGGTGACTTCCAGCTAATAGACATGCTTATTAATTGGTTAGGGCTTTAGTTTCACATCCCTGTAGTTTAGTTTCTGTGATACAATCCTTTATGAACTTTCATAAGTAAGGACTATCAGGCAGAATTGATTTGTTGGGAGAACAGAGAAAAGGCTGTGAAGGGAGAAGCACATTAAGTGGAATAGTAAGAATGTAGAATTGACATCACACAGATAGGTTAGGCCATGTTTATAAAGACATGAAACATGATGAAAACCCATAGGGAAGTTTGGAATAAATTAATGAATGACATAAACTATACAGTTTTAATTGTTAAGGAAGGATCATTGTAGAGTAGAAAGAAAATCAGGAGACCAGTTGTAATATTTAGCAATTATTCAGATAGAAAAATAGTGATAATTGATAATTGAATTGGCGAATAAGACATTCTTATCAGTTTAGATGTGATAATAGTATGTAAAAGGCTGTTTTCTAATTTATTGGTTTTAACATCAGAGTGAATGAAGTGTCACTTACTTGAGGTTTAGGAAGCTGGAATTACCTGAGTGTTTTTGCTGAATTCTGTTTAATTGATTTGCTTTTAGGCCAAAAGGATTCTTGAAGGAGATCATGGCTCACCTGCTGGCGAGATTGATGATGAAGACAAAGTATGTGCTAATTAATTTATGCCTATTAGTAGTGCTTTTAAGATATAATACATCATAATTTTATCAGCTTTTACCTTAATATTTGAGAGCACCATCAAATGCCTATTCTTTATTCTTTAAAAAACAAAACTAGACTGTCAAAAATAATTATACGTTTATATATAGTAACCATTACTTTTAAGATAGAGACCTCCTAGGCCTTTTTCAAAGTACTTCAAAAAATTAATTACTCATTTGTTGACAGGACAAGGATGAAACTGAAACAGTTAAGCAGACTCAGACATCAGAGGTATACGATGCCAAAGGTCCCAAAGCTGTAAGATCAGATGTTTCTGATCAAGAGGAAGATGAAGAAAGTGAAGCATGTCCAGTGTCTATTAGTAAGTTTAAAGGCTTTGAACCATGTTTATAATTCTTTATAGATCACTATCAGAACATTTAGGAGAGGAGTTTAAGAATAGCAAATTAAGCATCTAATTCTGAATTTGAATGTTAGTAAATTAGTAACCTGATTTATTTACTTGGCCAGCATGATCACTTATACCTCCAATGCCTATACTTGAAATGCAAGAGGATTATGATTTTGAGAGATCATCTTAAGACCCTGTCTTAGAAAAACAACAAACAAACCTAACAACTTGGTCTTTCTGTACCACAGTTTCCAGTACTTATTGACAATTTTAGGCATATTAGGTAAAACACCCGAATAAAGCAAGAATACAGTAAATGTTAACCATTATTAAGATTAAATGGTATGGGTGTGAAATTTATACCTGTACTTGGGAGGCCAAGTTTGGGAGGATATGTTGACTCTAAAACTTGCATATTAGCATGGTTGATACAACAAAACCCCATCTCTAAAGAAGAAAAAAAGATGAATTTGTGAGATTTACTAAAAGTTGTACATTAATCAACATAGATTTATCTAAAGCTGAAACTCAGGCTTTAACTAATTATGGAAGTGGAGAAGATGAAAATGAAGATGAAGAAATAGAAGAATTTGAGGAGAGCCCTGTGGATGTCCAGACTTCACTTCAGGCTAATACTGAAACTACAGAAGAAACTGAGCATGAGAGTCAGGTAATCCATTAACCATCAGAATAGTTACTGCTATTCTTATTTCAACTACTGAAAGCAAAGACCTTCTGAAAAATGTCAACATGTATAGCTTTTCTCATTCTTTGTCATTCTTAAGATATTTATTAGAATCTGAAACACTTTTTATATTTAACATTGTTTAGAATAGTTTGTTTTTATTTTTTTAAGATTTTCTAACAAATCCTAACTACTATATACTTTAGAGGGTTTTTTTTTTCCATATGCAGTTTTTATTTTGTATACAGATGGAGGTTTTAACTTCTTTCACATTAGAGGTTTTTTGTTTTTTTTGTCAGTTGTGGGGCTTGAACTCTGGGCTTGGGCACTGTCCCTGAGCTCTTTAGCTCAAGGTGAGCACTCTACCACTTGAGCCACAGCACAACTTTTGGTTTTCTGGTGGTTAATTAGAGATAAGAGTCTCATGGACTTTCCTGCCCCAGCTGGCTTTTGAACTGTGATCGTCAGAGCTCAGCCTCCTGAGTAGCTAGGATTACAGGTGTGATCTACTGGCACCTGACTAGAGGGTGGTTTTTTTTTTTAATGAATTAGATATATTTGTCTTTTAGTCATATAAGAAAATCTTATGCAACAAGAAATAAAATCATTTCCTACTTTCACTTCATCCTGCTCCATCGACAGTACTTTGTACAATTTCTTCAACTATTTGCCTCCATATTTCTTTCTTTATTGTATGTGTTTTGGTGAAATTTACATTTAGTCTTAAACTATAAATATTACTGATTGCTGAGCAAGAAAGTATTATTTATGTCTATTCTTGTACATCTTCCTCTTCAATTTGATAGTTACGTCAGTTTACATTGATTTTCTTTGAACATATTCCCCTGCTGTATACTAGTATCTGCTTTTTTTTTTTTCCTTCGGTCATGGGGCCTGAACTCTGGGCCTGGGTGCTGTCCCTCAGCTCTTCAGCTCAAGGCTAGCACTCTACTATTTGAGCCACAGCGCCACTTCTGGCATTTTCTGCTTATATGGTGCTGCGGAATCGAACCCAGGGCCTCATGCATGCAAGGCAAGCACTCTATCACTGAGCAACCTTCCCAACCCAAGTCAGTATCTTTATAAACCTCCCAGCAGAATTCGTACATAACTTAAATTTAACTTGTCTTGACATCCTTTTTTTCCCCTTGATCATTACTCCTTCCTTACCACTCTAGATTTAACTTACATTACATGTTTGGCTATGTGTTTTTCTTTTTCTTTTTGTGCTGCTACTAGAGCTTGAACTCAGGGCTTCAAGCTCTCACTTGGCCTTTTTTTTTTTTTTTTGCTCAGAACTGGTGCTGTACCATTTGAGGTACCCCCACTGTGGCATTTTGCTGGTTAATTGGAGGGAGAGAAGAGTCACAAGGATGTGTCTGTTCATTTACCTCCTTTTTCAGATCTATTTTTAGAATTCAGTCTTTTTTTTACTAGCCTTACTTTTAGAGGAGCATAATAATTTCTAGTACCTCTCAGAAATGAGAGATAAAACTTTTTGAGACATACCTAAGAAAATATTGATTCAAATGGTTTAAAATATTTTTCTGAGAAGTAGCACTGTAGCTTAAAGTAGTAGAGCACTAGCCTTGAGCAAAAATGCTCAGGGACAGCAGTCAGGCCCGAGTTCAAGCCCTACAACCAGTTCACCACCACCACCACCACCCCAAAAAAAATTCTGTATTGAAAATCACTTCTTCTGTGTGGAAAATATTTTCTTCAGATCTTTGAAGGTACTAACTACTTCATTGTTATATCTTATTTACCTTTCTCCCTCCAAAAGCTTTATCCCCCCTAGAATTGTAAAACTTAATATACTTTGTTCTGAGTCTTTTCCATTATATGGGCATTTTACTGGATCTTTTCCATTTATATTTTTCCCTTAGTGATTTGTTTTTTTCACCATATTCTCTTCTTTATCAGCTATTGCTAGTTCTCAGAGGATAATCATCTTTTCTCTTGTCCCACTGCTTTTATCCTTTTACTTTTGCTTTCTGGATTTCCTTAGCCTTAATGTCAGTATGAAATTATTTTTATTTCCATGGTCATATTTTATTTCTAAGTAACATTTTTTTGCTGTTACTTTTCTGATCACGGAAGCAGGGTCTTATCTAGCTGGAAATATTCTTCAGTTATCTACTGATCATATTCAGTTATCTACTGATTATACTGAAGAATGATATATAAAAAATTTGGTTTTTTTTGGGGGGAGTCTTGAAACAGAGCTTCATGTTTGTTAGACAGATGATGCTCTACCACTTCAGCCGTTCCTCCAATCCTCATTTGCATTGATTTTTTTTTTTTTTTTTGAGGTAGGATCTTGTTTTATGCCAAGGCAGACCTACACGGGAATCATCTACTCACATCTTCAGGGTAACAAGCACACATCACTGTACTTAGCCACTGTGTCTCCTATATAGCAGGGATGATAGTCTATACTGTTGGACCTAACCATTGGTTGAAATAGAATCTCATGAACTTTATGCCTGAACTGGCTTGAAACTGAGATCTCCTAGTTTTCACTTCCCACCAAACTAGGATTATAGATAGATTTGAGTTGCCGTGCCTAACTTGGTTTGCTTTTTTGTTGGTTGTTTCTCTACAGGACATGAGATAGACAGCTAATTTCCTGATAGAAACTTGTAAATGTTAGTACCTATTGGTCTGTGTTTCAAAGTGGTTTAATATCTTCAAGCGTTTTCTATTTTCCTGCTTGGGTGCATATTAGTTTTGTTCCTGGTATTCTGGAGCTTAATGTGAGAATGGAGTGGAATGCCCCCATCATTACATACACTTGCACTATTTCATTCTGTTTTCAGTATGGACTTCACTGCTGCCCTCCTTCTTTATCCAAGTGTCTGGCTCACTAGTTGTAATCTGTTGGACATAAGAACCTAGGAATCCATATTTTTCTTAGTCAGTTTTAAGCCTAACACTACCAGTCTTAATTTTAATCACTAGCCCTTACTCTGCCACCATATTTTCCCTCCCTAGAATCTGATACTTCTAATGATGGGGTAAATCTCCGTTTTTTTGTTTCCTGTCCTGTTAAAGGTACTTGGCTTTGTTCATTTTTCTCCTCCTGCTCACTTCCTCTCCCATACTTGCAATGTTTACATGTGTAGATATCTTTTTTGTATTTTTTAAGATACGGTCTGAAAAAATTCATAAAACAGAAAAATGTATTTTAGTCTCCTTTTCTGCATTGTGTTGAGTTTCTCTGAGAAGGAACCTTTTTAGTGTGACCATCTTCTTAATGCAGCCAAAGCCTCTTTTAAGAGAGTTTGAAGCTTTGATGGACAAAAATCATACAATAATAAGATATATAATAATAAGGTATATTGTTCATATATTTTAAGGCTTTCATATTAAAACATCTTTTTCTTTTTAGGTTCTGCAACATGACCTGGAAAAAACGGCAGAAAGCACTAATTTCCCACCAGATCAGGTGCTCACTGATAAAAGTAAGAAGTTAAATAACTTCAGTTTTAAGATTAAAGAACCTTTTATGTACTTAAAACTTTATTAAATATTATAATTCTTAAAACTAATATAAGTTTGAAGGCACTTTGAACTTAATACCTATCTTGTAACTCTGTCTTTGGTTTTCTAAGAGTTAACAAATGTTTATGTACCTATACAGAAATATTCTTTTTCAGGGCATATCTTCACCACCACCCCCCCCCCAAAAAAAAAAAATCCGTTCCCAGGACTCTTGAAAATCCTAATTGTTGGATTCTTGTCTTTTCCCTCCCTTCTTTCCTCCTTCCTCCCTCCCTCTCTTCCTCCCTCCCTTCCTTCCTAGTAATTGGGGCTAGAGGGGCATTGTCCCTTAGCATTTATCACTTGAGCCATAATTCTACTTGAAGTTTTTTTGCTGATCAGTTGGAGATAGAGTCTCACCAATTTTCCTGCCCACGCTGGCTTCAAACTGATCCTTAGATCACTCCTGTGAGTAGCTTAGGAATACAGACATGAGTCACCAGCACCCAGCAAAAATTCTTATTTTAAAAGGTCCTAGATGAATCTCTTCAGCTAAATTTGAAAGCCACTGCTAATGAACATTTGTAGTTGCCTTTTCTGTTGGGTCTTCAGTGTCTTGATCATTTCTATTCATGTATATTGTCTTTATTTGATGTAAAGGGATTAAAAAACAACTTGGATTACACTGAAGTTAAGACTTTGTTTTGATGGCAGATGATCAAGTTAATTCTCCTGTGAAACCTTGTTACCTTAATATCGTGGAAAATGAACAGCCATTAAATAGTTCTACCCAGAAGGACTCAGTTACTACTATTGATTCATCTAAACAGCCTGACCCTTTGCCGATACCTTTAACTGAAATTGAAACCATAGTGCCTAAAGTCAAAGAAGTTAAGTCTACCCAGGAAACTCCTGAGAGCTCTCTGGCTGGAAGTCCCGATACTGAATCTCCAGTGTTAGTGCATGACTATGTAAGTATCACTTGTGTTTCCAAATGTATTGCTTTTTATTTCTATGTATATTTCTTTGTTTTCAGATTAACATTTTCAGCATATAAATCAAGTAGTATATAAACACACAAACACTTTGTGTTTAGAACCTGTCTAAATATTTTTATTTTTTATTCATACTTCAGGCAGTAGCAGAAGAGTGATTATAATTTATGGTGAGCATTTCAAGCCTTAAAGCAATTTATAATTTGGATAACCAAATTAAATAACAGTGACAGGTTTTTTTTTTTGTTTTTTTTGGATCCAGTCGTGGGGCCTGAACTCTGGGCCTGGGCACTGTCCCTCAGCTCTTCAGCTCAAGGCTAGGTGCTCTACCACTTGAGCCACAGCACCACTTCTGGCTTTTTTTCTTTTTGCTTATGTGGTGCCGAGGAATCGAACCCAGGGCCTCAGGCATGCAAGGCAAGCGCTCTACCATTGAGCCACCTTCCCAGCCCTCCAGTGACAGTTTTAAGAGAGTTCAAGTTCAATATTCACTAATAATGAGGTTCAAGTGGTACCAGCTGAGCAAAGAAGTTGAGTAAGTACTAAGGCCCTAAGTTCAAATCTACGATAGCAGTGCTCCTCCCCCCACCTTGGAAAAAAAGCCTAAGGTTTCTACTTTGGTACTTGGTAGAAACATGATACTATTCAAAATTACAGGGAGGGCTAAAGAATGAAAATCCAATCCAAATTTAAAGGAAACACAAGTTTGAGATGATTACAAAAGTAAATTACTAAATTTATACCTCATATTTATAACTGAGGTACCAGTGGCTTACACCTATAATCCTAGCTATTCAGGGGGCTGAGATCTAAGGATCTCCAAAACCCATTCAAAGCCAGCCCAGGCAGGAAAATCTGTGAGACTCTTATCTCCAATTAACCACCAGAAAACTGAAAGTGGTTCTGTGGCTCAAAGTAATAGAGTGCTAGCCTTGAGTGAAAAAGCTCAGGGACAGTATTCAGGCTGTCACACGACTGATGGGGGGGAAAGTTTGTTATATGTATACATACACATATATA